CTATCACGTAATGCCTCCTCGAGTTCTTGTTCGCGGGCACTACCAAGCCTATACCCCTGCCCTTGTATTTTTTTGGACTCCATGCTCTTGGTATCTTGCAATGTACGCACCTTGGCCATATTGTTTTTTTCATATATTTGAAAAATAAATCAATATCAATAGCTGAAAATATTATCAACAGAGTTTTTTCAATTCATGCTAAGATATATTGGAATATGATGAAATATATGAGAACATTTCGAAACTTTTCTGTATGTATTAATAAAATATGTCCAAATATTTCAAAACATTTTGAAACATTTCAAAACTTTTCTATATGTATTAACATTTTGAAACATTTCGAAACTTTTCTGTATGTATTAATATTTCAAAACATTTCGAAACATTTCGGAACTTTTCTATATTTTATACTAGCTTTGCTGAAATACTTCATTATGGGGCGCATTCATAAAGAATACTATAGTGCAAATGCAAGATATCTATCCGATGAGGCAATCCAAGAAATTAAAGAGTCGATGGGTAAGGTACCTGATGCCGTAAATGTAATGGCAAGTAAATATCAAATAAATTACTATCGCGTCCTAGATTATATGGAAAATCGTGAACGCAAGCAACAAATGATATACCCTCAATCATCTAAGATACGAAGTGCCGATTTTCCTGAAATAGAATCTATGTCTAAAAATATTTCAAATGGACATATAAAAAATAGGAAATCCAAATCCAAATCCAAATCCAAATCCGTTCTTATTCCTGATCTAACAGAAAAGGTTGGTGGAATATCGGAAGCAAAAAAAGAAATCATATCCTCTTCATTACCCAATATCTCGCAAGATAGTGAAGACGTTTTGGATTTATATAATAGAAGTCAAAAAGAGCAAAAAAAGGTTAGAACGAGTGGTCGAATTCTTGCTTCTAAATTAATTGTTCCTTAGATTCATATCGTTTACGCAAATCATTATTATATGCAATCATTTCAAAAACAGATTGAACACTGGTTAACAATGCCTTTTCAAGTTCTTTTTCACGGTTTGACTTATTCTCGCAATTCATGCTTTTTTTTTTAACTCTGTATCTGGCTCTTCGGAAATAGATGGAATTGCATTGACACAGTGAACCTCAAGCTTATTTTC